CATGGGGGATAGTAGGCAACCTTGTTTCACTCCTGTCTTCACTCTCAAAAGCATCACTGAGCTTCCTATTGTGAATTACTTGGCTGCCATGTGGCATCTTCATATAGTTGTTGAATGAGGCGGATAAAGGTTTGCGGTACTCCGTAGTATTGAAGCAGTTTCCAAATTACTTCTCGGTCGACGCTGTCAAAGGCCTTCTCAAAGTCGATGAAGTTGAGGTATAGAGCTGATTGCCATTCTGTGCTCTGTTCTATGATGATGCGAAGCGTTGCAATTTGGTCTGCACATGATTTGTACTTCCTGAAGCCTGCCTGTTCCGGTCGTAGTTTTGAATCCAGTGCATCTTTAGGCCTCTCCAGGATGATGCGGCTTAATATTTTACTTGGGGTGGACAGGAGAGTGATTCCGCACCAGTTCTTGCAAGCACTGAGGTCTCCTTTCTTCGGCAGTTTGACAAGGTAACCCTTCTTCCAATCGTCAGGTACCTTCTCTTCCTTCCACACCTTCTGCAATAGTGGTGTGAGCATGTCTGCTGTTGTCTCTGCATCTGTTCTCAGTGCTTCTGGCGGTATTCCATCTGGTCCTGCTGCTTTCCTGCATTTCAGTAGCTTTATGGCGTTCAGGACTTCCATTTTCGTTGGAGGATTTATGTTCACTTGTAATTCAGCGGCTGCAGGTGGTATTTCTGGACGAAGTGCAGGTGGTGGTCGATTCAAGAGCTTCTTGAAGTGGTCGGCCCATCGTTTCCTTTGTTTCTCTTCTTTCGTAATTAAATTTCCTTCTTCATCTTTTATTGGTTTCATCTGTGTTGGTCTCTTCCCTGATAGTAACCTGGTTATTTGATACAATGTCGTCAGGTCTCTCTTACCTGCAGCCTGTTCTGCTTCACTTGCCAGTGTTTCGTAGAAGTGTCTTTTGTCTTTGCGTGCACTCTTCTTCACTTCTTTGTCCAGTGTTTTATACATTGTGCTCAGTTCCTCTTGTCGTTGAGCATCCTTGCACTGGTTTATCTTCTGCTTCACCATCCTCCTCTCCTCTATCAGCTTCCATGTATCCATCGAGATCCATTCCTTATCTTCTTTCTTCTTCCTTCCTAATACTGTTGTGCAGGTTTTTTTCCACATAGCTTTCAAAGACTTCCAGTGTTCTTCCACACAGGTTTCTTCAGGGATGTCCCTCGATGTCTCCCATTTTGTCTTGATGGCTGCCTTGAAGATCTCCTTTGTAGTTTCATCCTTCAGTTTCCGAGTGTTGTACTTGGGTTGAGGTCTATCACCAGCTTCCTTGAAGGCTTTTAACTTGATTTGGAAGGTTCCTTGCACTAGATAGTGAGTGGTGTGAACCTACATCTGCTCCTCTTCTCGACCTTGTGTTAAGTAGACTGCGTCTCCATTTTCTTGAGATTGAGATAAAGTCGATTTGATTTTTAGTGTGTCCATCTGGTGAAATCCATGTCGCTTTGTGGATATCTTTGTGCCTGAACACACTGCCTCCAATCACCAAATCGTTGAATGCGCAGAATTCTGCAAACAATTCTCCATTCTCATTCATTTCACCTAGTGCCTCTCGACCCATGGTTAGTTCTCTTCCCGTGTTGTCCCCTCCCAGTTTGGCATTCATGTCGCCCATCAGAATTTTGATATCGCCAACTGACGTCTTGTCCAGTGTTGATTGAAGTTGTCTGTAGAAATCCTCCTTTTTCTCATGATCTGCATTATTTGTAGGTGCATAACATTGTATGATTGTGACCTTTCTTCCTTTTGAGTTGAATCTTGCTGTCATGATCCTGGAGGAGATTGGTTCCCACTGCATGAGAGCCTTCGATGCTCTTGAGGACATCATGATAGCCACTCCATAACTCAGTGTGCTCGTGGTTGGCGTCTGGGTGACCGGAGTAGATTATTGATTCTCCAGTTGACAGTTTGGAGAGTCCACTCCCATTCCATCTGCTTTCGCAAATCCCAAGCACTTCGATGTGATACCTTCTCATCTCCTTTGCAATCTGGGCTGCCTTACTGGGTTCAAACATCGTACGGACATTCCATGTCCCCACGTTTACTTTCGCTTTCATCGAGGGAGAGAAGACACATCGGCCAATTGGCTTCCCGAAGGCTTTCACCAACTGGCGTCATTTCGCCTCTCCGATTCCAGCGGGGTATAAGTTTGTTTTCATTTTTTATATTTTGTTTGTGCTTTGAAGTTTGTTTAGCGGTTAGATTTGTTTTACGGGGTAGGGTTGCTAGCCCTATGCCCAACCTTCCCTCTTTACCCGGGCTTAGGACCGACTAGTAACTAGTGAACTAGTTAACCAGGCGAGGTTGTATCTCATATGGAAAGATGAAATTCATTGAATGAGAAGAATATTATAATGAAGAAGGAATTACAGCATAGAGAATAAATTATGAGTTAAATGTTCTTGTTTAGTCATAGACGATCCGTTTAAATGCATAGTGCACCTTTTCAATGATGAAATTAGACATTCACGTTAAAACGGAGTTTGGAAATATGTCTATATACGGGGATCTAAATTAAAGGGATCGGAGATATATTGAAGTAAGACAAATTCCTGACTGGGTGATTGAATGGCGTATACCATTTTAGTCTGTTTTTAATTAGAAATGTCACACAGTGAAGGAATAGTATCATTTACTGGATAACAACATTTCGGACACAATTTATATTCATTTCAGGTGACTCCACAACCTCAAAACAGACTTTATATAAAAAACTAAGTTTCTCTCCTCCTCTGTGATGACAAGGGTAGTAGAATTTTACAGATGTCTGGGACAGGTTCACAATCATTTTTATTAGCACACGTATTTGGTGTTGATTCGATAGACAATGATGATTGGGTTATCAATCTCTGCCTCCCTCCCCCCCTCCCTCCCTCCACCCACCCAACTGAGTTAGTTTTCAACACTGTCGCTGTATTCCATCCACCCTACTGTGTGATTGTGTGTTGTTGTGCAGAGCTACAGCCGAGCATTTGTGTGAATTGTGACTTATTTTATTACGATCTACTAATCTCGATTTCCAGTTGTTATTCGTCGCAGACTGACATTAGGTGGAGGAACAAAGGAAAACTGGGAGCACTGGACAGCCGTTTCTTCGTAGTATGGGACTCCTAAGCAGTGCGTACCCACGGGGTCGGGCCCGCAACCTTTAGGTTCCGTGGCCAGCACGTTACCATTGAGCCACTGGGTCAGAATTCATTGGTCCACATTTGCAGCTTCTGTTAGCTCACAGCTGTTCAGTGCCCCCAGGTTTCCCTTATTCTTCCAACTGATGTCAGTTTATGATGAATAACAACTGGAAATCGAGATTAGTAGATCGTAATAAAATAAGTCACAATTTACACAAATGCTCGGCTGTAGCTCTGCACAACAACACACAATCACGCAGTAGGGTGGATGGAATACAGTGACAGTGTTGAAAACTAACTCAGTTGGGTGGAGGGAGGGAGGGAGGGAGGGAGGGAGGGAGGGAGGGAGGGAGGCAGAGATTGATAACCCAATCATCATTGTCTATCGAATCAACACCAAATACGTATGCTAATAAAAATGATTGTGAACCTGTCCCAGACATCTGTAAAATTCTACTACCCTTGTCATCACAGAGGAGGAGAGAAACTTAGTTTTTTATATAAAGTCTGTTTTGAGGTTGTGGAGTCACCTGATATGAATATAAATTGTGTCCGAAATGTTGTTATCCAGTAAATGATACTATTCCTTCACTGTGTGACATTTCTAATTAAAAACAGACTGAAATGGAATTAATTACATTGGATCACAATGCCCACATTTTACTCCTATATTAATGAGTTACGTGTAACTTTTGAAGTTCATCAATCACTACAAAACATCTCAGTGCTTTGTAAACTTTGTTCAAACCTATAGTGAAAATCAAGTATATAATCTTTACTTTTACTTGTTTAAATGAAGAGACTGACAATAGTCAGTGGGTAAAATGAAACCATGTGTTATGGATGTACACCACACTATTCATCCAATTATTCATGCGTAGTTGACAACTTCGATTGGGGGAAATCAAGTGCCTAATGCTAACAGTTGAATGGACTAGTTTTAAGTAACACAGTTGATGATTTGTGAGGTGTCAGAAAGAAACTTAACCACTGAGTAAATGTGAATTTACGTAGAATTATGAAAATTTTTGTCTACTCTTCATGTAAGCGCGAGACACTGAATGGTGCTAAATCTGTAAATCTACCTGGCAGGTTAAGTAATCCCTTTCAGATTTGAATAGATGGGAAGTTATTTGGCTTTTAATCAGGTCATTCAAAGCAGCATGTGGCAAGTAAACATACTTCAAATGAGATCGAATCGTCAATGTTGTCACAAGTTGTTATGCATTAGACAAACAAGTAGGTAGGTCACGTAGTACTCTTAATGTCCCTCATAATTCTCCATTCTTGTTTCTATTTCAGTGAGTTTCGAGGAAGATAACAAAATACACATATTTCATTCATTATACCAAACTTTATTTTCATCATCTGACATATCCTTATTTTGGCAGACTAGTATTTATACTGGGTGATGATTGAAGGTGAAATGAAAATTTGGACGACACCCGGATTCGATCTAACGAACACTGAGTTTCCGGCCCATCGCTCTACTAACTGACCTATGAGGTCCCATCACTGATCACATTTTTTTTCACTTCACCCACCATGAGTTTTGCTTGATTACCATGGGAATTTATGACACGTTACTATCACTTGATCGTATTCACACGAACTGCCTAGTCAGGACTTCTCATCTTAATCCAAATCAAACTAAATTAGATAGGGGGAGCATCATATTGATTATCATTTGACTATCTGAGGTAGCTGTGGCTTGGCAGACTAATATTTGCACTTGGTGACGATTGAAGGTGAAATGAAAATTTGAACCGTGGAGGGATTCGAACAAGAGACCACAGGGTTTCCGGCTCAATGCTCCATCAACTGAGTTACTATTATTACTAGCATTAAAACTACTCACCTATAGTAGTAGATAAATCTGTCAGATTCGTTCCTTGTTATATCCAGCTGGTTCTGTACACCTTACTTCACACACTGAAATTAAAGAAACAGTTAGAAGTTTAACCACGACCTACTTTTCAACTTAATACTATAGTCATTCAAATTATGAGTAATGCCAAAATAAATTTATTGATAATCATCTCCATTCTAAACCAACATACCTGAGAAGTGGTGCAACACTCGTCTATGACACTGGCAAATTATTTAGAACGTTTGAAGTAGTTTCACTTAATCAAACTAAGTTAGTAAGAAAGAAATGAATGATGAGTTTTGGTCAAATGTGTCTAAGATAACATTGGCAATGAGATCGATATATATACAGGCAACCTGGTCAATGGTTGATGATCAACATAGCTATCGAATCTATTGTGCAGTGATCTGCTCAAGTTTTGTAGATAAAGTTTACATTAGTTGATAAAGTGAGTTGAGTAATATACATCATCAAAGTTGACGGTAGATCTAAATAATACACAGAAGAACTATCGAAGCTACTTTATATAAGACTACTTGAAAATTTTAAAATTTAAGCTCTCTAGATTATGTTTGTTGAAATCACTTTAAGTAGTATGTAGCTGCATATCATCAGTCGAATTCATAAGGTTTGGGTAAATGCTTTAAAAGTAAGTGGAACCTTCTTGCATAAACATATAACTTTCCAGTATTTTGAAGGTCATTGTAATATACCTCGAATTCAGCTGCATCCTAACATAAAGTGTCAATTATATAAAGAAATCTGAGAGAAGGGATTGTTGGAGATTATTTCTCTAACTATCCTCATCACGTTAAGTGTAAGGTTACATGTTTATTTTCCCATAGTAATACCTTTCAAAAAAGACAAACAAATCAGAAAAAAATATAAAGGTAAAGCTGCTTTTAATAACTCTAAACACCAACGATAAACTAACCTGATTGTCCTTTGCTGTATCTAAAACTTTCTTTTTCGCACATCACGTTGCATGAATTTGATGTGGCTAGACAAAAAAAGAGTATGGAGTTTTGTAGTTCACATTATCGATGTTCACAGTAAGTTATTCGTTGAAATATACTTCCAGATGGCAAATATTTCACTATCAATGTAGACATCGTCACTAATCAGTGCGTCGAAGCTTCACAAGGAAATGAAATACTAACTTGTTGAGAAGCAATTTGAATAAGGAGAGTTTCATCGGTTCATTCGAACAAAAAGGGTGAGGCGATCACAATGAAACGACCTCAGCGTACTGCAAACAAGCAAAAGAAACTGACCAATCATACAGTTGCACACTTTGCTGATAAAACTAGAGGCAGGAAGTTAACTAATCAGGTTCAACACTAGCCTATGTATTCACTAAGTGGCCAATCTAATCATACTCAGTCAAAGTAGCATGATGAAGGTATCCATGCTAAAGCAATTAATTCATTTCTTTTTGAACCTGTGATGCACTCACTGATGACGACATCTAGAATGATACTGGAACTTCTGCCAAATGAAACTCTGGCTCACAGAAAAGTCCATAGTATATATATACATAAACAATCACTGCACATATGTATCTCTTTAACAACTATATACTCAACCCAAAGAAGCATCTCGTTGTGCAGTCGAATCAAATATTACAACTATAGTACCTGTTGAAAGTTGGTTTTGTGGCATAGAATTGATTGTGGAATATATGACGATTTTGTTAAATAAGGGATTATTAAGTCAATAATACAACTACCCGACATGATCTTTGTTTGATGAACTGGTTTCACTGATGCGAATTGATGACTGACTAAGTTTTTAGCGTGATAAGAGTGAACCGGTATTTATGTATCACATATTAGCATAGCAACAGAACAAAACCCTGGGTGATCAAAGTAAATTTTAAACCTGTTCAGCTGTTTTTTTTCTTGTAGCTTTGGGTTGGTGAGCTGGATGTCACTGGTTTGAATTCTGCTAAGATTCAGGCTTCTGTTTCACCTTCATCTATAACTCTGAAACCGAAATTGAGTATTTTTCGAAAATCTGAGTTGAAATAAAAACACTTTTCACATCGATACCCATCTACTTCTTATCATGTGCAGGTACATGTACAGTGCCAGTAAATACAAATCCGACTGATCTAACCTCTGCTTTTTGAAAGGACGTGTTCTTCAACACTCAGTAGATAATAATAAGGATTGATATGTGCTTGAAGTGAAATCAGACGTTATCTACTACCAAAAGACCTTTGATCACTGGTCACAAAATCAGTGCCTATTGTTTTTAGTAAAGTTATTTTAAATAATTGAATTTTGAGGGAGTTGTGGGGATTTGGAAATATTTCAACTTGTTATTCATCGTAAACTGACATCAGTTGGAGGGACAAAGGAAACCTGGGAGCACTGGACAGTTGTCTCATCTAAGTAGTATGGGACTCCTCCACAGTCCCCCCTACGATTCTGCCAGGGATCGAACCCGACACCTCCAGGTTCCGTGGCCAGCACATTATCATTAAGCCACTAGGATGGAGTCCAACGGTTCATATTTCCAATTTCTGTTAGCTCATGACATAGCACAACCGCTACCCAATGTCATCGTTGAGTAACTATCCTCATGACCATAAGGCTTTGCCCCCGCCGGTCACGATTTCTCATTGGAACTTCGGGAATACCTGTCGAAGCTAGTCACTAATAAGCACCAGTTCAATTGAATTTTGAAGGAGTTGTGGGGATTTGGATTTTAAATAATTTGAAGGTAATTGTTTTAATTTATCATAATTTCACCTAAAGTAAGGGATTTTACTCTCTACCAAGTTTATACTACTTAAATCACCAATATAATATCTGCTAGTTATTATTTCTTTTTAATATTTCAAGTATTTAGCCATTGTACACAATATCAATCATCATATGTTTGTGAATAAAACAAGAAGTGAAATTATGTCATTTTGTTGATTTTGGTTGTCTGCATATATCACTTTACTTAAAACTAGGTCAACGCTTGAGTAACAATTCTTCCATCTTTATAATTTGCGTTGATTCGGTTCGATTCCCAGTCATCTACATAAAACTGTCTGTTTTATGCAATATTTATGAATTTATACTTATGAAATATTGAGACATAAGTTATTGAAGGCTAATATGTGCTTACTTATATCTTTAGGTGAAATATATAAGAGTATTTATTGACAAAAGTTTATCCATGACTAAAGTGAACTTCTTGAGCGCATCATTTCAAAAATTTATATGCTACCGTTTACTATCACCTAAATTTTTTCGTATCCAATTAACTTTTTATACATGTTAGTCAGTTAGTCAGTTTCATCAACGTGGGATATGACACTAATGAGCAATTATCAGAATTGCTATACCTCAGATTAGCACAACAAGACACAATGTACCACAATGAGATAAGTGAAGAAAAAGAAGAGGAAATAAGTGTGAAGCGCAAATGATTAACTGATTAGGAGAAAAATGATTTGCCATTATCGATTATAAGCCATATATTGCTTAGAATCTAAAACCAATGATTTCAGTTGTTACAGGAACCCCGATTAGGAAGTCTACATTTCCTAGCAAGAATCATATCAACAATCAATGACTTTGTAGACTTCAAATTATTTATTAATCTGGTTGCCTTCAATCTTTTATTTCAGTCTAAACCTACTCGAGCTAACATCGGACAATAGAGTATAGGGTGACTATGCATATCGAATGCATGTGCCAGCCACCTAATTCAATGGAGATTTACAGCCTTATCATCTTCTATGTATGTCTCACTTTAAACACTATCTATTCACTTCATATCAACAGTTGGTATGTTTTAGAGCTGATAGAAATTCCTCTATACACACCGATCCAAGATCACGTTTGCGATTACAACTTGTACACTAATCCATATAGCTTCAGAAATTAAATCCAGTATACTTATTTTCAAGCTATCAATTCTATCCGATGATAAGACAAAGCTGATTAACGGTTTGACAGTACTTTCAATCTCATATTAGGTACCTACCTACCTACCTACCTGCCTACATATATACACACATGCATACGCGTACATCAACACAGTGGTAAAAAAGAGTTCTACCGAAATCAAGCACTCATCAAATAAAATACACTCTATGCATAAATTCACATTACATGCTGCTGGGTCACATGGTGAAATGTCATTCAGTTCACCGCATATTTTATGACTATGACTTTAACTATTTGAGATAGCTGTGGTTTGATAGGCTTGTATTACTGTTACTAGATGATGATGGAAGGTGAAATGAAAATCTAGGCAGCAGATGGGTTCAAACTAGCAGGCTATCTATCACCTTGACTTGATCTATGTTCACATTATTCTGATTCCTTTTACTTTAATCTTTCCGTAGAGATGACAGACTGACTACCTATTCATCCTTGCATGACAGGAGTTAACAACAAGTGAAGAAATATGAACCTGGCTATTGAAATTTTTCACCAGTCACAATAATTTCTTGAAAGATCATATCCAAACTGTGTTTTAACAGTTAAGTTGAATTTTTGTGAACCTAATTCAGGGGGTACTTCACTATTCTCTAAAGTAAATCAATCTATTTTCGAATTGCTGCTTCACTGAGTTCATTGGATAGACAGAAGAGGCATTTTTTGAACAAAATTCTTATCAAGTAAAAGATTTTCCCTAGCACTGAATGTTACCTTAAAGGAACAATGGTTACAGACACTGGTAAGTCTTACCACTAAAAATCTGCTCAACATTACTAGCATCATGATATCTGAAATATCTAGAACTATTCTCAGAAACTCTAATAAAAAGGTGAGGCTTCCTGCCAACCAACAAAGATTCATCGAAGTGCACTGTGGTCGTAAGCTTGTCAACTTGTTGGTCACGTTGAAAAATAAAAAAAGAATCTTGAGAAATCGGTAAGCAATTAGAACCAGACTGACTAATCAATTGAATTTTCTGTTTAATCACTTAGAGGTGTACTTATTTTCAATAAAAGATGCAGCTCTTAGTGACCTGTGGTAAATGACCAGCCTTATTTCTGTATAAGGATACTTTTTGACAGACCTAAGTCAGTAGTCATTGAGCTTGAATGGATTTACAGGTGTCATTCATCATGTAGACTCAGTACTAACAGATGTATATCTATGATTCATGATTTTAAAGGAGTATCTATAAAGGAATGACATTAGTTAGAGAACGACTGAGATCCCGGTAGCACCTGACACTCAGTTCGCCCTATTTTGGATCTCTTCAGCAGTACGCACCGATGACCCTGGCAGAGATAGGACTCATGACCTTTAGGTGCTTCAGGATGGATATCCTGAAGTTCTGATGAGAAGCTACGACCTGTTGGGTCAGCCAGTAGGAAATGAAGCGGATTCCAACTGAGGGAATTGGGTGATAGCTGCACTAAATCGCGAAATGACAGAATTAGGAAACTTTAAACTATTTAACTCCAACCCAGTTGCTGAATGGTTGGCGTAATTATCGCGAGAAATGAACATCCTGATTTCGGTGGCTTGCGGGGTCATATATGAGGAGACCTATACTAGTATGAAACAGCTGTCTAGTGCTCCCATGTGCTCAACAGTTCTCCAACTGACGAAAGCTGCGTTTAAATGAATAAAATCCGCTTAAAATTTGAGCTAAACTCATGATCTTTCTTAATATTTTCCGCACAATATTCTTTCTGTATCTTACGGCCTTTCGTTGTTGTGCTTGAAAATCAATTTCTTGAGTGTAAAATTGTTTCATACACTGGTGTTCTATATGTAGCCGTTTTATTCCACTCTTTAGGTCATCAACAGAGCTAATTTTTTGTGTTTACTTCTATTCTGCATCACACTTTTTTCAAGGGTTTGTTGATAATTTTGAAAAGGCCTCTGAAATAACAACTGGACAAGAAAAGACAAGTCGACTGATCATACATCTGGAGATGGGTAAGCAAAGGAAGTCAGTATCTACTAACTATCTTAAGAAAGAACATAGTTAGTTCCTTATTGATGCACCCCACAATCGTTATACTACTGATAAACAACAGCGAGAAGATCATCATATGTAAATATGTAGACTACTTAAGATGCTAAGTGGGCAAATAAATTATAGAAGCACCTGAAGGCCAATCAAGTTCGGTAACAAAGTGAATTGTTTTGAAAGGTTGATCGAATGACATAGAAGGAACAGTGGTCAGTTGGAAAACAATCTAAGCTTAAAAAGGCTACAGAAAGGATAGGAAATACTCTAGGTAATTATTTCACAGCAACTAGTTGTTTCAGTGCCTCTAGGATCTTAGTTCAACGTGGTCGCGTGAACTTGTAGAAAACTGAAACACTTCATGTTTCGATAATTTGTATAATATTTATCTAATTCTTACACGTATCATCTGTTTTTGTGAAGTTTTCATACCTACGAAACCATGTATGAAACGTAATGTTTGTATATGGATCATAAACGAATTCTGATATACTGCTGTTGATGTTGCCATTGGTTGGAGATGAATCGGCTGGGGATGACATCCATAAGGCAACACATAACTTTATTATTTTAAGCTGATGCTTCAGGTGTAATGGATCTATTTCAAAATACAATCATCACCAGTTTGATATGACAGGTTGCCACAACCTAACAGTTTACCAGCGATAGGAACCTAACGTGCAAGAGAATCTACTCTAATCTCTAGTAAGAAAGCCAGCCACCAACATAACAATAGCACCGGCGCTTGAAGATAAGAAGAAAGGATGGGTCGTTGACACAGACCTTTTACTGTCTCAACATCAATCAAAGCAGTAATAAATACACTTCTAAACGACCTTGACAACATTATATCCACATTTAAGGTTGAAAGAGTTAACAACCAATGAGAGTTCAACCTACAGAAGCAGTAGAAAAATCGAAAGCTAACAATGGCTCCAATAGGGCGCGAAAACGGCAATAATTATTTTAGGGTTATAGGCAACTATCAAGCAAAGTTTAGACAGAATTAGAGGGTATATAACATTCTCTACTTATTTTCTCGAAACTTGGCTATGAATTATATTTAGTTGTTCTGCGTTTGTACACCAGTTCGTGTTCAAACACGTGGAATATAAAACAGTTGGATGAAGATAATAGACAGGAAGTGTTGGATCTAGGTTTCATGCTTTTTGGTACTCATCCGTAAGGTGTATCTACAGCCTCAAGGGAACTGATGACCTCTGAACCGGTGTTACCCAGTATTGCAGTCAGAGACGTTACCACTGAGTTATTTAGGTAGCAACTGAACTACTGTAGGAGTGAGTTACATATACTGATTAGTCACTGGAGACTAACTAACTCCCAGTGGAAAGATTCATATCTTGTTCAAAGCATGTATTTGTTGTTTAGTTTTTCTCAGTTTTTCAAGCATTGTGTTGTTGATCATTCTGACTAGCTCTTAAAACTCATCCACTATATTATTATGATAATAAATTAAGAGGCTTCATTTATTAGATAGATTTTCCTCAACAGTAACCAATTGTCAAATATCAGCATGGACAATTCCAGGAATGTGAGCATACAACTTGACAGAAAGTTATTTAATATGAATTACATTTCCGATTATCTGAATTGCCTTCCTTTATACATTTTTTCCCAACTTGTTTTCTACTTCCTCTGTTCATTTTATCAGTAAACAGAAGTGAACAATAAGTTATGCCATGATATGTTTCAAGGAAGTTTTCAGCAGAAATGAAAAAATTTTTTTCAATATTCAACCAGCAAGTAGATGAGAAATCTGACAATTGACTTACAGGTATTTATTTCAAAAGAAAGGCATGATATTTGGAAACTTACTGGAGTATATATCAGTCACTAATCATGTATACTGAAGATATGTCAGTGAAGCATAATTCCGGAGACTGGTCAAAGCAACACTGAGATAGAGATCGTTTCAACTACAAGCAGCACAAGCACTGGCACAGATGACGATGTCGAAGCAAACCACAATCACAAAGACAGCAAGACAGGCCTTCCCACATTAATCTCAAATAATCAATGTGGAGATCTACTGCAATCCACTGAATTGCACTGCACTCAGCATAAAGCCTAAACAACATCCGGATTTTCAACACTAATTCAGTCAAGTAAGTCAGTGCTTCTATGTGATGATTGAGAGACTTGGTGAGTTGCGAAAAGCATTTCCAACAAACTACAGACATACGTCACATGGACAGCTGCCACCTACTCTCGTTCCATATTGGAGATGGAGACCAGATGGTCAGAATAATAAGAATGAGCATGGAGGAACTCTGGCCGGCAACGAATCAACCGTACAACCAAGAACATAACGCCTGACAAATATGCAGAAGAAGAGTGTGGAGATGGGCTGGATTGGATTGGATTGTGCATACACTGAGAAGAATGTTTGGGGACATCATGCAGCAGGTGAGGTCAGGCTGTCAAGTGGAACCCGAATGGGAAACGACGAGTTGGTTGTGCAAGGTGAGGGTTATATGGAGGAGATCATGTGAGGATGGAATGAAATCTTCTTGGCAGTTGTGGATGGAGGTTTGAAAGAGTGGGGAGAAGGTAGTGAAATGGTGACGTGCCATTGAAGCGCTATGTTCCACTGGGAGCCAGAAGGGCAAATAATGATAATAATATGTTTTTTAGTAAACCTGTTTATCGCTTTTTAGTTTTGATTCAAAGTTTCGTGTTTTCATATTTACATTTTTCATATCACGTAGTCCCGTAATGAAGAAGATGCAGTTACCTGAACTAGGAATTCGGGAATGTTTAGGATATGCTTCTCATTACTAAGATGCAAACCTTTGGTGTGTTGACGCGTCACCTAATAATAAGGTATGAACTGATTGAGAGCCGTGATCCCTTCACTAATTTCGGGGCCAGACCAGCCCTGATGCACCTCCATACTCTTCTTCTGCATATTTGTCGGTCAACAGGTTCTCGGTTGAATAGTTGGTTCATTGCCAGGTCAGAGTTCATCCTTGCTCATTCTTATTATTCTGACCATCTGGTCTCCATCTCCAATATGGAACGAGAGTAGGTGGCAGCTGTTCATGTGACGTATGTCTGTAGTTTGTTGGAAACGCTTTTCGCAACTCACCAAGTCTCTCAATCATCACATAGAAGCACTGACTTACTTGACTGAATTAGTGTTGAAAATCCGGATGTTGTTTAGGCTTTATGCTGAGTGCAGTGCAATTCAGTGGATTGCAGTAGATCTCCACATTGATTATTTGAGATTAATGTGGGAAGGCCTGTCTTGCTGTCTTTGTGATTGTGGTTTGCTTCGACATCGTCATCTGTGCCAGTGCTTGTGCTGTTTGTAGTTGAAACGATGTTGCCTCCTAGGTAGGTAGGTAGGTAGATAGGTGAAGGAGACAACTTCCTTGATATTTCTCCTGTTGATAGTGATTGGTGCTTGTTGTTGTTGTTTGGGTATTTTCACCACGTCCTTCTGGATTTTCGTAATCGATCTATTGTGTAATGACATTAGATTGCTTCCTGTTCATCTTCTACAACTTTCTACTTTTGTTAACTGTGTTTTCCTCATTTTCCTATCTTCTATCTCGATGCCTTCGGCTTAAATCTGGTGTAATTAATTTTGACATAACTCCCATTCCAAAATAAGTTCAATGGTATTATAGCAGTTCATTTTACTACTCGGTTCGAGGATCTTGAAGCGATATATTTTTTATGAATAGTTAGGGATGAATAAAGCTTTAGTGCAAATTAACATTTGCTCAGATTCTCGTTTATTTTTAGTGAACATATGCATATTCCTTATGTTTTGTGTTACTTCTACGGATTCTGGATAGTTTAACCTCTTCAGTCAGTAGAAAACAGAAGAGAAGGATAAAAGGAAGGATGAATAGTAACGAATATCTGAATCACTGTGTCCTAAGAATGCATTCATTACCACGAATGACTGGATAGATAGTGGGAGTCATTTTAGGACAAAGGATATCATATAATGGCATTGAAAGAGACTAGAAAGACTCACCATCTTTTCCAGGAGGTCCAGGTGGGCCTAAAACAACAGTCACAAACAGCAAAAATTAGTTTACACTTATGTAAAATCACAGAAATAAATGATAATCAATGCAAATATTACCGTTAACTTTCAAGTTGTGGTATACTGAACCTTTCTAGGTGACTGACCAAATGTGACTAGATGCCAAAAGTGACTTTCTAATGAGCAGAGAATGTTCAATACTCAATCAGATGGTCAGTATGATATAATCTATGAAGAAACGTTTACAGTTTGGGAAACTTGAGGTTAGTAGGGAAATAATAATAGTAATAACAATAATCACTTTATTCTAGACAATAAATTTCAAAAAAAATTAGAATACTCAGGGTGATATTTCAACAAATTTACATCTTGTACAATATTTTCAAATTAATAGAAGACAACTTAGAGAGAAAAATTTTCTTTTCGACAAGTCATTTTCACAAGTTGTACATCGTAATCACAGGTACGACAAAAAATATATCCATCAATAGCTAGTAGGTCGATACAGCGTCATCACAAACGGTTAATAAAATGACAAGGTGAGAATATAGTGAGAGAACAACAGTTGCTTCGTCCTTCCACGGGATTCGTCAGCAGTACATACCCATGATCGTACAAGCTATCAAACTAATGACTCTCCACTTCTTTGGTCAGTGCAGTACCTTCGAGCTGCTGTGTCGAAATCCTATGATCCTACTGATGTCAATTTGCGATCCAGAATGACCTTGATTCAATGTTATAATTGAATATTTCTGCTGATGTTTGAATTCATTTACCCTATCAATCATAACTTCTCAAGAAATCTCATCTCAAAGCATGTCACTTATGATTACAGAATAGCGATTTGATATGAAGGTTTTCTATGGATATTATGGGGTACCATTTCTAAGCATTATCGTTCGTACAACTGTATATCAGATTATTTTTGAAGTCTGAAACTACAGTGACTTCCAAAAGAAAGTGTCAGTACCTTCTGTTTCATGAGAACAATAAATTACATAATTGGAGCTACGGAAAGTCAAGTCTTCCTTAATCTTCAAAGGATAGGCATAGAAGACAAAAAAAATGTTTCTAGCTGAAAGGGATTATCTAGGTGTTATTGTATCCTATGAGCTGGATGTTGTGATTATGGCGCTTTAACTACTACTCAGACAATAATATCAATGCATAGCTTACAAAGAAGTGATCTACGACGAATTTCATACACTTTATCTGGTCAGACAAATGGTTGAAGTAATATTGCTTACGTATATATGTCAATGAATATTTAGATGCTATTGTTGATCATATACCTCGGTGGCTTCCAGACTCAGCAGATTTTCTTCCATTTGTCTGCTGATTTCCAACTGAGTTGGGTGGTTTCTAACATTTTCTGGCTTTACTATGTTCAAAGCTTTTTCATAAATTTTATCAGTCATATTCATCCATATTGTTATTATTTACACTAACAGTCAACAGAAGAGGATGGCTATTTGTTACTTTGTACTGTTTCCTGCAAATGTTCCAGTATATTTCATAAAATGGACTAAATCAGTTCTCTGAACTATAATTCTCTTTTCTCTAAGTAATGTAAACTATGATTCATGTTACAAACGACTTGGTGGTCTAGAAAGCTTGAAGAGATAGGATATTTTCTTCTGATAAGAACTGAAAAAACTTTCTTATCTAATTCTCGACAAACTTCCGGTTTTATATCATTTTGAAATAACATGGTATACAGCTTAGCTTAAAAATATGGTAAATCACATATAGATATTAGTTGACTTAGTAAGAATTTCAGATTTGATATAATCCATTGAAATAGCTAAGACATAAAACTGGGGGAAAATTTCCATACCTTATGGTAATGTCACTATGAACTTATACTGTCGGCAGCTAAATCTTATAGTATAATAATGAGACTTAATCAAAGTGAAATGAAGTGAGTAGATAGGCAAGAACAAGAAATAAAAATGGACAATGAAATATGAAGGAAACTAACACAGCAAGTTATATTCTAAAACTCTTAAAGTTACCCACCCCCCCTCCCCACTATATCATAGAAAATCTTATGCTTAAAATTCTTTTGAACTACACTAGAGAAACGAATTTAAAGCATGCAGGTATTGCTATGATGTACTACTCCTTTGCGGTGACCACCGGAATACAACAGAGAGGGGATAGAAGAAATCTAGCCCAAAATGGGGTAAGCAAAAATACATTGGAAATATTTTTTAACTTGTTTTCTTTCGATTTTCTTTACAACTTGTTCCAATAATTCCGGAAGTATAACTCATATTACTGTTGTTGTTAATAAAGTTTACTGTAATTTATATTCACCGACCAACACTTCCACCTGATGATAGACGTTACTTTTTTTCAAGTTGTTATTCATCGTAGACTGACATCAGTTAGAGGAACAAAGGAAACCTGGGAGCACTGGACAGCTGTTTCGTCCGACTAGTATGGGACTTCTCAGCAGTGCGCACCCACGACCCCACTAGCAGGGACCGAACCCGCGACCTTCAGGCTCCGCGGCCAGCGAGTTACCATTGAGCCACTGGGTCAGAATCCAATGCTCCATATTTCCAACTTCTGTTAGCTCACGATATATATTGACATATTACAAAAGTAGTAAGGCTGAATAATATCTCAATTGTTTTATATATTCAGATTAGGAATCATATCTGAACTACTTGCTAGATGGCGATCACTTTTACAGATCAACTCAATGCTTATCCTTTAAAGAAATACGCTGACTAAAGTATTTACCAGTTTAAAGATATCTGACAGTTCCTATGCTAATTGAAAGTAGACTAGTTAACCAATAATGAACGTCTTCTTAAGTGTTACTCTACCCTTGAATACTGACTATAATCTTTTTAAGTAAAGCTTAAGACAGAAGTAATCTCTGATTAAATTTCCTGGGTAAATTTACTGAGTACACGATACGAAAATAAACGTTTGTTAGGCTTTTATTCTGTTTCGAATTATGTTTATACTATCATTAGATACGTACATACATCCGTCTTATGAACCTTACTTTTTATCCCTTTATTGTTGCTCTATTTCAATGGGTTGAGAAAATTCGACCAATAGAACTGATAGAATGCTATATTAGTTTGCTATTCTGTTTTATTCAGTACGTTTTTCTGTTGGAATATAACATAGAAAAATTTCAGTTTGGATAACTGAGACACAGCTTTTCATTTTGACTTGAACAAAGTTCAAGGGAAGTATGAGCTATCTTATCACTTTACAGAACCAATTAGATAGTGATTCATTAACACAGACGTGCAAAGTGGCTTTTAAGGTTTGTAAAGCCTACTCACAGTCATAAAACAAAAGGTGTATAGCAAAGAGTCACTCTTTTTTCACCGATAACAATCTCAAGCTGTACAATAGCCTACATAAGTATTCTATTCACATCATTATTTTTTTATTATTAGTCCCTTGGGTTCCTAGTGGAACATAGGGCTTCAGTAGCACGCCTCCAGTGACCTCTGTTCTCTGAGATCTTTTGAACCTGGTTCCATGACAGCCCACAAGCTCTCATTTCCTCCTCGCACGATCTCCTCCATGTCACCCTCAGCTGGGACGTCCAACTCGTCGCTTCCCATGGGGATTCCACTCGAGTGACTGGCCTGACGCGTGATGTCCCCAGTCGGCCTTCTCAGTCTATGCCCAATCCATCTCAACTTCCTCCTGCATATTTGTTGGGTGATAGGTTCTTGGTTGGTTCGTTCCCAGAGTGAATTCCTTGTTGCTTATTCTTTCTGGCAATCCATCTGATCTTGAGTAGCGAGTGAGTGTAAGCAGTTGTTGATGAATGTCTGTAGTTTATTGGAAATCCCTTTCGTGACGTGCCACGCAGAAGCACTGACTTGACGTTGGTGTTGAAAATCCGGATGTTGTTCCACATGCTGAGTGCAGAAGATGTCCACACTGGTTTCAGGCTAATGAACGCCTGTCTTACTTTTCCGATTCTGACTGGTTTTGCCATCCTCGTCCGTCCCGCCTGTAGTTGAAACAGTACTTCCTAGATAGGTGGAGGTTACTTCCTTTAAGTTTCTCCCATTGGTGGTGATTGGAGTTTGTTGTTGTTGTTAGTGCGGTATCTTCATCACCTCTGTCTTCTCTATATTCACCTGAAGTCCCGTCTTAGCTGCCTCTTCTATCAACTTGTTAGTTTTTGCCTGCAGATCTTCAAGTTTATGTGACATCAGACACAAGTCATCGGTGAAATCCAAGTCTTCTAGGTTCTTTTCCGCAGTCCAGCCGGCGTATCCCCTTCTTCTCACAGTTCCCCACTGTTTGCTGCATGATCCAGTCCACCACAATAAGGAATATCATGGGGGATAGTAGGCAACCTTGTTTCACTCCTGTCTTCACTCCACCTCAAAAGCATCACTGAGCTTCTTATTGTGAATTACTTGGCTGCCATGTGGCATCTTCATATAGTTGTTGAATGAGGCGGATAAAGGTTTGCAGTACTCCGTAGTATTGAAGCAGTTTCCAAATTACTTCTCGGTCGACGCTGTCAAAGGCCTTCTCAAAGTCGATGAAGTTGAGGTAGAGGGTTGATTGCCATTCTGTGCTCTGTTCTATGATGATGCGAAGCGTTGTGTGAATCTTTCTATTCACATAGTAACAGAAAATGAAATATTTCATGAAATATTTTGAATGAAGTTCACACTTGTTTATAAATCAGCAGATTGAAGAAAGATTTACGTAATGTTTGAAATAGTAATGTTTTTATAAGTTATACTCGTTGCACAACAAGTGACTACACGAATTTCTTTTGAACTCAGAGTTCAGTCTTCAAAATTTTTAATTGCCATAGCTTCTGTAGTTTGAAGAAGTTTTAAGAGATTTGCACGAACTCTATAGATGACACTGAAGTTGTTTTCTCCACTTACTGGATGATCAGAATCGATGAAGTGTTTTGAAATAGAGCCAAGAAGTCTTTTTTTTCTTCCTTGTGGAACCGAGTTGGTATATGTTTGGAAATACATTTGGAAAGTGAACGCTGATTA